TTCTTATTAAAATTTATAAATAAAGCTAATTTTATTTAAATAATGGTATCTCACGATCCAGTGATCAGAATCGGATGATTTTACCACCATTCGATTCGCCTCGATGAGACGAATTGAATGGTAGTAAAATCATCTGATTCTGGTCACCGGATCACGAGATATCACGTGTGCGTCATAATTGGTCTGCGTCATAATACCCATACTCACTTTATATCGTTAAAATAAAAATATTTATCAATTTTAAATAGCTAGTTACCAAAATATATTGTTAAAAGTTCAAAAAAATTATTTAAATTACTAAATCTGTTCAATTAGAATGTGGCTATTCAAGTAGAATCTAGGATACTAACATTTAATACACTAGAGAGTGTAGTAATATATAATTTGAATCAAAAGTTTTCCTATTTATTTTTACGAAAATATACAAATCTATATACAAATTTTATAACAACTAGTAAGACTATCATACAAAATAAATTTAACTAGACCTATAATAATTCTTCCCAGAATATTGTTATCTATCAAAATTCTAAAACTTAATTATTGCATTATGTGGTGTCGGTAATATCATATCTAAATTCCTTTCATAATTAGTATTCTTAATTTCTAGATTTTCATCTGGAACCGTTATATTATAAGGTGTGCAACGATGAAACACGTCATATAAGAATGAAACAGCATCAACAACAAGAAATAATACATCTGCAATTAGCAAGAGTTGTGGTATGATTGTATATTGAGTCACCGATGTCACATAAATGCCCTATATAAAAAAAGTATATTGAATAAATAACGAGATTTAATATATTTTATCGTTATATAGGCATTTAAAATAAAAGTATATACCTTGATAATAAGGTTTGGTAAATCTTTAATAATTAAATTCACAAAAGTGCCAATCCAAATCTGAGTTTTAATACGTTTAATAGTTTCTTTCGACATATGGGACTTATTGACAGAAAAAACTTCGAGTCCAGCAAAATTTGAAAATATGAAATATAGAGCTGCAACATCAACGGAAGCAATTAATGCGAGTATTGTAGTAACTGTGTGATGTTTACCACGCCAATAATGAAGAATTTCACTGCGAATAAGTATATAATGAGCTAAAATCATGTTGAATAATATTGATACAACCAAGAAAACTATGCTATTTGTTAAAATGAGAGACTAAATATAAGAATATGAATATGGTAATGAAAAAACAATTAGAATAATATTGAATATACATGCCTGGTAATATATAACGATAAAATATCTTGACTATAGTCCTTAATGAACAGTACTCTGAAAATTAAATCTAAAATTATCAAAGCAATTTTAAATACGTAATAGTTATGTCCCTGTGAAGTAATAGAGAACAAGAGGTTAAAATCTATAGGACAAAAAAAAAATCAAATAAAACATATACAGATAGCAAAACTTGCCTCTGAATTGCGACGGTGGGCAGCTGCAAAAATAACAATTGCTATAAATATAAAACATCCAAAGGTACTCAATTCGACCATATTTTCAGACCAAAAATTTGCTTAATTTTTTTTTAAAAAAGGAAAGAAAAATAGTAAGTAAACCAATTAGTAAAGTATTAAGTATTATAAAATAATACAGAAATTACATACGAGTGATTTGAAATCCATATTCAGAGTCAAGAGAATCCATGTTTGCTTTATCAGAGAGTGAACTTATATCTTTATGCTTTATTAAGATATTAAAGTCCTTTATAATATCATCTACACCTGGGCTATTTGAGGGATTATTTGCCTTCATAATTGAAAATACGATCTGTGTTTCATTGGAATTTATGGGATTCCGGCGAACTCCAAATATCTTCAATCGATCATCCGTCAGAGGAATACTTTTCATTATATCATCAAGCAATTGTGACTGATTAATTTGTTTCAAAAATTGATCATAGCTTAGTTTAAAATTTAATGTAGCCTCCGTTGAATCTATAAAATATTACAGCATTAACATTAGTGAACGTTGTCGACAAATACGCGTAAATATAAAGATAAATAAAAGTTTATATTTACCAGAAATACTATAATGATGTGCTTTGAGATAATGAAGACAGATAGTTACGAATTTATTAGTAAGAAATATGGGGTGTACGATATTATACGTCAATAAACACTGGGAAGCGCAAAATTCAACTAATCGCAGGCAAAATACCGGTAATAGTAATGATAATAAAGCGCGACAGCGCTTAGCACCATGATGCCGCAGTAGTTATGACATCACGTTGTATTTTAATAATTGAGTTGTTCACTACGTATCAGATGCCGATAACGGTTGATAACAGCAAATTCCGGTAAATAGAAAATGGTTTGTAACAGAATATGGGTGACTTACAATCTGATGTCATCACACGCCAAATGTCTTTCTTAATTCCACGAAGCGGTTCGTTAAATAATGCTGATCTAACAAAATCATTATCAGCAGTGATAATATATGTGCTGCTAATTCTGTTAAATGTACTATTCAAGATATCACAAGATAGTGTTGAAATGGGTTGCATTTTATGCTGTCCTTTATGGTTATAAGATGGTGCAAAGTGGGTATTCACTCTACAGTAAGGAGATGAAACGGGATAGGTTTGGCGTAATAATAATGTTTTTTGATTAATAACTTGGTAAATTGAAATATTTCCAGATGATTGAACGACCGGGAAATGAAAAGTGAGATTAATCGGACCATTAAAGGGTAAATTTATAGTCATATTTAATTCTGGATAAGATGAATTGATTGCGACATTACCATAGCCAGCTGATGAAATAAAATGATAATGGGGTTAAAAAATATCGTTATACCAATATTTACGTGAAAATTTAATACTCACAATCATTATAATTCCGTTCCACATCAATCATGATAAGTTTACTATCACGTGTATTATTACCACATGTAAACCATAGGGTGTTATTCTTAAAAACACCATAATCAAATAACATCACGTATGTTTCATTAAATAATATTTTGGATGAGCTAAGATTAGAGTCTTCCACTTTGAGCACTTTGAGTGAACTATAATTATAATTATCAGTTAAAATGGTTAAATTTTCGAATATAATTTCTCCACCATGCGGCAACGGAAGGGTGTATTGCGTTACATATTTGAGAAATTCATCAGTTTTTAATTTGAGAGATTCATGAGCTATCAATTTAGATTCAGACAACGAAAATTCTTCGAGCTGTGCGTATTCACTGTATGAAAGAAGATTTTCTTGGATTACAGATCCAGATGATGAAAATTTTACGGATCTTATAAATTGTCTGCCACGTTGTATTGAATTAAGCATTATATCAGGTTCTGAATAAAACATTATATCAGAAAAAATGCAAATATTGCTTAGAAATCCAGATGAGTAAAGACCAGCTTGACAGTTGATATACCCTATAGAAGATATCGAAGTATCATACGTTTGGTAGAGTAAAAATTGTTCTGATGGCTGATCCGATTCGACTTTTTTTATAAAATGGACATAAATTTCATATACAGGATCATAAAAAGGATCATCAGAAGTATAATCCGCTCTTGTTAAGATTTTATAAACAATTGCATGCCGACCATCAACAGTAACAAAAGTATTATATGTGTGGAAAGTGAATCCATCCCTCGGTGATCTGATAATCCCATTTGATATCTGTTCGGCGACACCATTAACTTTTCTAATAATTTGTAAGTAATTAGTATTTTGAATAAATTCAAAAATTACATTTTATGTATTATAACTTACGAGAATTTGGTCCAAGTTATATTATAAGAGTTTAAAACTACGACAAGAAAACTTTCTGATGCATCCGAAACCCGATATTTTGAACTAGTGTAATTGTAACGGTCAAATAGTATAAGATTGCTACAAAGACACACAAATTGTTACACGTAAATATCATCGCTTTAAATAAATAAACAAAATAAAATAATCAAATAAATAGTTAATTAATTACTCTGTTTTTATTTGGCCTTGAATAGTTCCAAGCATGGTAACATTATTTTTTGGATCATTTCGATCATAATAAATAAAAAGTAAATTATTTTCCGTTAAAGGAATAATGTTTTCAATGGAATAGATGCTTAAATTTAACTTTACAGCATTCTTGTAATATGCCACACTTTTATTTTTGTAAATAATGCTTAATAGGAATGGGTCTTTTTGTGTCGAGGTAGTCATTAAAAGTTTTCCATCATCATCACATTGTTGAATGCTAATCAGGTTTCCATAATCACTTAAGTCAGTTCTAATTTCACTTGCTCCATAATTTATTATCAAGATGGTAAAGATAAAGAATATTACAGCAAATTGCCGATTCAAAATTTTATCAAACATAAATGTCTTTGTAGAATTATAAATGTCTCTTTTTTTTCGTCCTCAGGGAATTCGGTTAAGACAATAAATTGTCGCAATTGAAGCTGGAATTTTAAGTATATTACACGTGATATGAAATTTTCAAAATTTTTTGGAGTGCATTGTTTTTTTTATTAAAATATATATATATATTTTTTATAGTTAGGTTAGGATGTTGATTTTAGTAATAAAAGAGTATAGTGGATTTTGGTGGGTTTATATTTTTTTTTTTAAATCAAGGTTCCCAATTTCCAGCGTCAGCCGCGACATAATAACGAAATTATCATAATTTCTGATCATGCTAAATAAATATTAATTTTGCATAAACCTGCATCTTCTATAAATACATCTTTATTCTTTTTTTCCATTTTTAACCAAATGACTTACTAGTTTACTAGTTTCAGGAACTCTTTTTTTTTTTAATTGATCATATACTGTAATTTACTATAGCTACTGCTGCATTATCTCCGAGCCAAATTTGTGTTTACAAAGGGAATTGTTTTTTTGACGTCAATACAATCTATTTGATGCCAAAGATACCAGCCTGGAGATTTCTAGGTATTTATTCATTATGCTTATGAAAATGGGTTTTCAAATTAACACTAATTATTCAAAGAACTTTTGATCCATTTTTAAATAAATAAATTTCTCATTTTTCGTGATTCATTTTAAGCGTTTACATTTAGGTCTTCTTGACATTGCATATATGATGATAGCTGATCTTACAACTTCATTATTTAAATGCCAGCCTTTTAGCGTTAGTACGGTACATATTTTAAAGATCGCCTTGTTTATACAAACAAGTTATTCCGGCAATTTGCCTATCCATTTTTGTAATTCCAGTTAAGCAAATCTAACCACACAGCACAAGCTTTAAATCAAAACATTAGTTGAATATTTAATATTTAGCAGCAAAATTTTTGAATTATAACATATGGATGACGCCAAGAGAAAACCGGGAATTCTAAAAATAGATTTCTATCCACAGCGAAGTTGCGGGTTTTTAATCGATTCGATGATGATAACACATGATTAAAGAACGTTATCATCATCGAATTGATTAAAACCCCGCAACTTCGCTGAGGATAGAAATCTATTTTTAGAATTCCTGGTTTTCTCTTGGCGTCATCCATATAGTATAATTAATTGCAACATAGAAAATTATTTTAACAATAATTTGTAGGTATCCAAGTCATTTTTGAAAGATGTGAATGTTATCATATGATCTGATTTATTATTATGCTTAAATTGCCGCTACGCCGATACCAATACGTACAGTACGTACGCACGTACATGCGTACATGATGTGTGCGCCTAATTGTTTTCTCGTAAATAAAACTTAGAAATTATTTTAAAAAGCAAGAATTTCTTATCTGATATAAACCGTATTTTATTTATATACTTAATTTCTTCCTTTGAAATAACTGCATATGCACATACCTAATTGATATAGTTAATCTAATCAGTTGTGTCCGCAGTGCGTATTTCACATTATACAATCATTTTTGGCCATCTACACCCAAGAACGAAGTACATAGTTGAATGACGTGTACCTTTAAGTATGTCGGGTATATCCATTCGGAAGTCTATTACTAATTACGAATACAACGCCAATATTTTCACATGTCGACTAAATCAGCGACTAAATCAGTATACGTGGAGTATATTATATTGTTTTACTCCGGTATGCACATTGATGTATATGCTCGTACGTATGTATAGTGTTATTCACGGAATAGTTGGGATAAAGTCGGGAAATATTTGGGGCAAATAAAAAGATAATCTTCTTTTAGCTCTTAGATAAAAAGTTTAATTAATTAATTATTATTTTGCGCATATGCGTTGTAACGCACCCCCATAAGACCAGGTATAACATGAAATCAAAACAATGGTGTTAGGTAAGGTTAAGGTAAAGTTAAAGTAGTTATAAAAGATGGGTTTATAGTAAAATCTTGCAAGGAATTTTTTTTGTTAAGACTCGAAAGGTAGTTTCATATGCGAAATTTTGAGTTATAGGCGATTTTTGCAAAACTGATCGTGTAACGTTACACCTGATCTTACGTTTTAATTGGTTGATCAGGGGGTGCGTTACAACGCATATACGCTAAATTATATAACCCTTAATTTTATTTTATTTTATTTTATTTTATTTTATTTTATTTTATTTATTTTATTTTATTTTATTTTATTTTTTATTTTATTTTTATTTTTATTTGGGCATTTATATTTGTACATGGTTAATATAGAAAGTCAATCAGATTGCACGATCAGTCATAACGTAAAATTATTGTTTTCTCCAAAATATTACCCATATCTCAAATTTTTGCTTATGAAACCAAAATTTTGGTATTTCTTGCAAAATTTTGGTATAAGCTTATAGATCGCCCAATCCCATACTCGATTAATTTTTCATTTTATGATTAGCATGTCACACAGCATTACAATTATAAATTTCAATTTTTTAATTTATTCTTATTTTCATTTATTTTTTAATTTATTTTTT